TCTTAACCACGGTCGCGATTGCTTGTCACTCATCTGACTAACGTTCCGTTTGACAGCGCGGTTTTTATACATTGACTCAAGGTACTGTACATTTTCGGTGTTATTTGAATTGTAATTGTCGTTAATTGCGTGATCATAGAGAATTCTCTGTTGTTCCTGGACAGATGTAATATATTTTTCCTTCGATGCGATCCGTCTATTTGTCACCTGAGGATGGGATCACATGACATTACGATTGTCCAACGAACGATCTCACAACGAGCGATAAGCGACCTTCGTGCGAGCGGAAAGAACAAAGCGCTAATGTAAAGTAGAAGAAAAGAAATAATTTTTGTATTTTTTTACCCACTGAAGATGGCTCAATGCGGAGCCGAAACGTTTGGGTGATAATGATTATTGTTTAAATATATGTAATTTTAGCACTAATTTCGTGCAAGGCTCACTTGCCCTTCTTTGGATACTTCTTAATTTTTAATTATATGAGCCAGATAATATATTATATTTTCTTTTTTTTTATATTTCTCTTTTTATTTTAGCTAGTTTTGAGGCTTATATTGTTAGATGCTTATTTTTGCTTATCTTATAAAGATGTTAAATATTGCAAAATTCCAAACTATATTATAAAAAATTGTTATATTATCTGATAGAAGACGTATTCTAGTTTGTATTTATGTTTTCGAAGTTTTATGATAAACAAAGTGGTATGATAGTATTAAAGATCTTCCTTTACATTTTACAATAAATTTCAACTTGAAGTTAATTATAAAATTATGTAATGCAAAAGATAAGAAAAATATGTTGAAAATAACAATTTTCTTTGATCTTATTGAGAAAATATACCATTCTGTACTATACGAGAATAACGGTATAATTACACTACAGTAAAGTACGTAAGAAAAGTTTTACAGAAATTTTAATTTGTATGTACAGATGAAAAACCTCTTAGAATTAATGTTCACCGAATGGAGAATGCTAAAATCAAAAGAGGAAATAGAAATTATGGAGGAATTTGCCAGGAAAGGCAGACAGTATACTATATTTTATGCAGGTAAGAGATTCATTTATAGAATATATTTTTATAGAAGAAGATGATATAGTTTGATTGTATCTAACTCTTGTTGGATTGCCTCAATCTCATTTGCTTTCACAGGAAAATTTTATTCATTGCGGCGTAATAAAATTTATTGCATTTACAATTTTATGTATTGCTCCACTATAATAGAAGTCAAGCACACGCAGCTTAAAAAATCATACCCAACTTTTCTTATAATCCTAAACTTAGAAAATTTACTGTTGCTCAAACTTTAGCAATTAAAAAAAACTATTTAATTATTTTATTTTAAAATATATAAAGTATTATATTTATTTTATATGAATTTTTCTGAACTCCATGTACAACCGTTAAACTGCGCACTGATTAAATGTTCGGACATGAAACGCAATTATTAGCTGAAGCTGGAATAGAAAAGGAATGTCATATTGATCTTCCTAATAAATCGATGCTTATAAGCATCTTAAAATACTGAAAAGAACTTATTGCGAAAAATTTTACCTCAGCCAGGATTTGAACCTGGGACTTCTCGACTTTCCGGGGCGGGCGTCTTAACCAGCTCGATCACCTAGGCGTGCGATAATATTTATCGCAATAACTTGTATATATATTAAATGAGAACGTATGCTAAGAGACACGTATATTAAATAATTTTTTTTAATAAGACCGCCTAAGTGAATAACACAATTAACTTCGAGAGCGCCTTACGGTCACGGCTGGATCTTAGATGCCTAATAAATTCTATATGAATTTTTTTGAAATCTATGTACAGCCGTTAAACTGTGCGCCGATTAAATGTTTGAACTTGAAACGCAATTATTAGCTGAGGCTGAAATAGAAATGTCATATTGATCTTCCTAATCAATCGATGCTTATAAGCATCTTAAAATACTGAAAAGAACTTATTGCAAAAAATTTTACCTCAGCCAGAATTTGAACCTGGGAC